TAATATAAACCCGAGGGTCCAACTATTATGTTCAGAATAATAGTCATATTATATTATTTTTGAAAGTCCTCAGCAATATGTTCATATTGAATAATGCTTTTTAACACACATTTAGTATTACTACATTTCAAATATTATTTGAGCAGGGCCAATTAGAATACTTTCCAGTTCTGTTGAAACTTTAATAGGATTTGGATTTGCTTTAATGTTATGTTATGGTTGGATTAGCAGTAAATTAATAGATGGTGTGTAGGTCAGGCAATTTTCCTTTTGACAGAGCTGCTGTAAGGGGAAAAACATAGTTGCAATAAACTATCAGTTGTCCTTGAGTATAAGATTGCTTCAAACTTTTTTCAATGGTATTGCTTCAGATAATGGAAATATTCAACTGGCTAGACTTAATTTTTAAACTGTTCATCTATAGGAACTTTTAAGTCTTTGAGAATTTTTTCAGCCAGAATCCTAATTGCATACTCTCACTACTCTACAGGAAATGTTCTTGTGAATTTTATTTGCATTTTTAAATATTCTGTGTATGATGTTGTAGATCAAATTAACTGGATTGTTATCCAGCCCATGTTTAATTCGTGTCTGCACTGTATTTTTAAGTTGTCACCTCTTCAAGGACATGCAATAGCAGTGAATACCACTTGTAATTGCCAAAGGCAGAAAGAAGACCTACTGATAGCAGAGGCTCTGCTTCTGCTGATACTTTTTTGATGGCACAGAAACCAGTCCTTGACATATGTGCCAAAGACTTCAGTCTGTTTATTACCAAAGAAAAAAGGAAAAAGGCAGTATACCTGGCTGTAGTTGTGCATGTCAGTAAATGGAGTGATACTTTCATCTTTGGTTTTTCAGAACAACTTCTCTGACTACTTCTCTTGGGTGGAAATAATTTGTGAGGAAAAATATAGGAACAAACTTTTGACTTATGTACTTTAGGTATGAAAATATGTTTTATGTATTTGCATATAGATATGCTTTGTGTATTTGAATATAGATATGCTTTATGTATTTGAATATAGATATTGTGTGATTTGCATGGTTTTTGAGACATGCTCATAGCAAAAAAAGGAAACAATGCCAACTAAAGAGAGTGCAGTCTGGAGTAAGGAGACCTGTGGCAATGTTCTCTGATGCTCTGAGCTGCCTACAACTGCTGATTCCTTAGCTTGAATATGAATGATCAAAATCTAGATTTTAAAGTGTCATTTAATTTGTAGTGTATTAACATCCAATTGCCTGAATGAATAGGCAAGACAGTCTTGTCCCAAAGATGAGTAACAGAAAGTGATGGGAATGAGGAATTGGTGCCTTCTGAACTCAGTCTGTCTTATAATATGCAAATAAGATCAGTAGGGTTATTGCCATTTGCTTTTCTCTTGAGCAGTTACTTGAGCCTTCTGACCTGCCCTGACCCCCATGGCCCAACCACAGTGTATGTGCTCCACTGTGGAAGCAGCACAGAGCAAAGGAAATGAACTATTTACCTGTCACAAGCCCTTCTTCATCAGGTTATTTTAAGGGAGGATCTTATTCTTGCTCACATGGATCAAGTTTGCAACAAGGATAGCACTGAGCAAGAACTCAGGAAGTGCTGGTAGCTCAGCAGTAACCAAGAGGGAATGAAAGGCTTGGTAGATGCAGTGAAGCCAAAATGTCATAATGTTCAGCAGAAACTTTTTGACATGAGTAATCCAGGAAATTCAGGGAGCAAGTTTAAATAAATATATTTTGAATACATTTTTACATAACTAATATTCTACCAGGTGATCCAGACCATTAACAAGAGCCTGTTCAAATAAACAAGGAAATATTCCAGTAGGCTAAGAAAGGTGTCATATAATGGACTGTAATTGGTGTGGGATTTTTATCGGTTTAAGGCAAAGCTCTGCCCCTGCTGGTGGCTCTGCACTGGCTGGGTACGTGCTCCACAGGGGAGGATGCTGCTCAAGCCCACTGACAGTAAATTGTTGAACATTCCGCTCCATTTCTGCAATGCTAAAAATAGTTGTCCTCATTTTAAAACACCAGACTATTAGATTATTCCAAGGGTCTGGCATACTTAGACTAATGGAAGGCACATATCCATAAATTATCAAAACACTAAGTAGTGTTTGACCGTGCTGATTTTGCTTCTATTAAGATGAGTTTCCTTGCTAGTAACCCTGGAGTATCAAGGCTATTTAGTAAATCAAGCTACTGGCAGTGCCCCAGTAAATTTAAAAATAAAAATGTTTCGTTTTCAGATTGAGAATGGAGAAACATCTGACTGCTTCTTGGTGGTTTTTTTTTTCCTGGGTTTCTTTTTTGTTTGTTTTTAATTTCATAGAAACATGTCTGAAAAATGCTTAAAGTATTTTACAGTAATTGTTTCACTTTCCCAGCCTTGAAGAGAATCTCATGAAGTTCCAGTATGTTTGCCATTATAAATCTTGTTAGTGCCTAAAATAGTCCAAATAGCAAAATGCATTCCAAGTGATTGATAAAAGTTTCTTTCAACACTTGTTCTTTTTTTGGTTTCTTTTTTTTTTTCTTTTTTTTTTTTTTGTATGTGTGTGTGTTTAGATAATGTGATTCCTAATTCATTTTTTGCTCCAATATTATTTCACAGTGCGGGTAACACTCCTGATAAAGTTCATATATTTGTAGGTTAAGATAGCCTCTGCTTTTATTGTTTTCAATTTTTTTAGTGTGGAAGTCCTTTATTTGGGAGGAAGAAATAGCTAAATGTGGAAATCAAGGTATAAGAATGTTGTTATATACACACATACAAAGCAACAAAGCATCTTACTCTGCCTTCAGAATTCTTCTCTAATTTTATAAGTTGTTGCAGTGCAATTATAAACTGAAAAACTCAATAAATTATAAGTATATTAAAGACCGTGTATATAAATACATTACACATTTCCAAAACAGTTAAAGCAATTACAACATCAATCATTTTAGATTTAATAAGAACCAATACTGATGGTATTGATGTAAAAGTGAATTTTTTCATGAAGAAATAATAATCCGTAGAGCACTGATTAAACAATGCAAGACAAAAGACCTATGGCTTCTTTTCATTAAAAAATCTGTGATTTTGTTTTGGGGGTGTTCTTCTAGTTTACAGTGATCTAGTATAGCAGGGAAGATGAAATTTTATTATCTGGTAGCAGACTATGAAGAATTTTTCACAATCCATATTGTAAATCTAGAGAAAATGAAGTGCTAATGATTACTTGTAATGATTAATTAGATTTTTTCCCCTCTACTTTTTCCCATGTATTGTTATAGACAGGAGCTGGAAAGAAGAAGTTGAAAATTGTGCCATAAGTGGAGTTACAAAAATGCCATTTTGGCAAGCTATTTTAAGGTTTATTTTAATTGTTGTATGCCATGAGGGCTTTGTATTTATTTGCTTAATTATTTGCATCATTCTGATGAATAATAGTTCTTTTATTGGCTCTTTGTGTTTTTAAGAGAGCTTGGAGTTTTTCCTTTGTTCTTTTTGTGTCTGTGAGGCATTTGTCTCCTGCTTGGCTTGGAATCAAGCAAGTGAACTTTCAAAATTTTCTTTTGTTGGTGAATTTTGGCCTGGACAGAAAACTCAACTGGGTGATGAACAAGTTACTAGGGCCAACTTCTGTCAAGGACATCACATCCATGAATGGAATGGAGAAAGGATTTCATTTTAGATTCTTTTAATAAGACTTCTAAGCTCCTATTAGAAGCCATATAAGCAGAGATGTATTCTACCAGAATTCAGCTCAGTGACTATAGTTTAATTATGACAAAAAATTAATGTATTCATGGTGGCATATTTCATGAATCTGTAAATGGAGGGTGGTTCTTAGCTTTGAGTGGCAGAGCCAGGTTCTCACTAGGTCTGTAATTATTTAATACACTTTGCTAAGAAGGAATAGAAAAGGAAATTACTGCAAATATTCTAATTCCAAATGAGATATTACTAGGCTTTTAACTATACCTTTTCCTTGTAAAGCTATATATTAAATGCAGAATTGAATTGTCTTAGCTCTCAACTCAAAGTTCTTGATTTATGGTTTGCTTTTCTTCTAATACTCCTTATTCAAATATTGAGGAGGAAGTTTACTGTGTTGTTCAGCTTCAACAGTTACCTTTTAAACACATTTTTGATTAACAAGATGTTTGGTTTAACTTATGCTCGGTTTCTGTATGTAACTTTTAAGCATCTTGTTCCCTGAATGGGATTTGCAAGTTCAAGTCAGATCCTTAATTTTCATGGGCAGTGTAAGGAGAAAGTCATTTGGAAGCCAGGGGTGACAGTCAACTGTACAGACGACTTACTTTGCTCTTTTTTTAAAACATGGGTTAGAGGACGCGGTAAATTAACAGCCTGTATAAAACATTCACTTGGGAAGTAGGGCAAGCCTGCCTGGTTGCAGAGGATCAAGATTTGCCTTTCTCCCTGCTGAGTAAATTGGACACTTTGAGATGAAGGAGAGCTCTGAAAGGGCCCTTTGAGCAGAGCCTAGAAACCAGGAGTCTGCCTTGTGCATACAGCTCCTTGTTGGACCTAATGGTTTAAGGGTAGATCCCTGTGTACTCAAGTGCCTAATGGGTACTGGGGAGACAGTGGAAGCTGTGGCACACTTGTTGGGGTTTTAAATACTTGGGTAGCATGCAAGTGCCTTCTGGACTGTCTTCTTCAGAACAGGGCCTGAAATGAAGTTTGAGAAAGCTTTTCATGTGATCAAAATTCTCTAAATTCTGTTGTCTAGTTGTCTGAAGCAACCTACAGCTGTATCTGCTACAGAATTAGATAACCTGAAATTGTTAATGGCCTATTATTTTAAAAGTGAAAAACATATTAACCAAATACAAGGTAGGAGACATATATAACTCTAAAAATGAATTCAGCTATTCCATAGTAAAGGAGTGAGAAGCAATACATGTCCAGATGCCTTTTCTCTTAATTTAGCTCAGTCATGAGATAGGTCTGTAAAATGATGTCTGTGTACAGTTTGTTTCAGGGAGAAATTGCCTTAGTAGGTGCTCCTGGCAAACCGAGTTTTACTGGCTCCAAGGTAGAAGAGAAACCAAACAAATTCCCAAAAAAATAAAATAAGTTTCCTTCTAACGATTTGCAGTCTCAACATCCTTTTTGCCAGCTGTCCAGTATCTACATAAATGGTACTTGAATTACATATCCAGTTTCTCAGTTATATAATGTGACAGAAGAACTTTACTATTGACTTCTCTTTCAAAAGAGAAAGGACATGTGGGGCTGTGGTACAAACTTGCCCAGCAGTACTATTTTGCATTAATACCAGTTGCTTAATTCTTCAAACTGTACAGGTCTTTTCTTCCACTCTTCCATTTTGCTCCTTTCCAGAAGTGGAATATTGTAGGAAGGCTAGAACTTGCAAAAAGAGACATGTTTATTATAGACCTTGCTGGTAATACTTGTTAAAATTGCCTCTTTTCGTGGTCAGATTTTTTGTTGGTTGCAGGTGCTTTTAATTGCAAATATTTGGAATTAAATCTTACTGCCTGTCCAGCTAATTCCTTTTAGAAAATTGTAGGGGAAATAGTTCTGCTGCTTCAACAAGTTAAGAGACCACACAAAAAAAAATCCCCATTATTTTGTTGTTATTAAAATTTTGAGAAAATGTTCTGCAACATGACCTTGATGCAATTTGTGTATCTTTAGGGCAGACACTTCCTGTAATATAGCACAAGGGGAAGGAAGGAAGGAACTTATTTTCTGCAGATGAGGTAGCCAGCATTTTGTTCAGCAACAAGATTACCACAGTCTATCCATTTCTACACTCAAAGCCAGGCATATTTAAAACACTGAAAATGAGATCAGCAATCCTTCAGTGATATAAGGACAAGCAATCAATGATTGTCCATGAAAAATTTGCATGAAATGTTTTGCCTAATTCAATATGAGAATTTGGCCACACAAAGGAGAATTTAAGTCAGCCATACATGTGGTACTTCTTAAATTTCATTTTTTTTATTTCTGCAGCATTTGTATTCTTTGAAATAAGTTACTAGTGGCTAATACTGTTATATTTTTTTATACTGTCAAGTGGAAATTTCCTAAACTTCTTTACCTACATTTTGCTGTCTATATTTCTTATTTTCTCTAATTTGGACTTTTTTTAAATTCAAATATGTGCAGAAAAATCTGGATTATTTTTGAAACAATAAGGCATTGTTGATCACTAAAATTGGTACAGGCAAGAACTGACTTGTTGAACAGCAACATTGCTGAAAATTATGGAGATGTAGACATGAGACTGAATTATGAGCTAACAGTGTTCCCTTACTGGAATAAAATAAACCACCTATTGGACTATATAATTAAAATTGCACCTAGCAGATTAAGGGGAGATATTTTCACTTCTTTGCTTGGTGGTGCTGCACCTGGTATGCTGTGTCATGTTTGGGGGAGTCCTCCACCCTCACTTCCATAAGAGATGTGGAGAAACCAGAGAGGGTCCAGCAGGGAATTAGTTTATGTTCAGGGACCTAGAAAACAAGATATCTGAAGAAAGTATCAAGGAGAAAAATTTTTTGAGTCTGGCAAAGAGGAAGCCAAGGAATTATAGAAATTGTCCTGCAAATCTGAGGAGTCCAGCTGGTTAATCTTCATGGACAGCTTCCTAAAACCCCAAGAACACTCCATGTTGTTATGCAGGGAGTTGAGTGAGTATGGCAGAAGGCCAGCATGGATGAACAAGATGCTTCTGGCTGACCTCAGACAGAAAAGAAAGTAAGCAGTGGAAGCATGGGTGAGCTACCCAGTAGGAACACAGAGACACTGCCGGAGAACGTGGTGATGGAGTTAGGAAACCAGAAACTCATCTGGAATTGAAACTAGTAAGAGAGTATTAAGAGCTTCTGTTAACTGCATCCATAGCAAAAACAAAGCTGAAGAAACGGTTGACCTGCTGCTTAATGGGTGGGGGGTGTAGAAAAGGCTGAGACTACACAATTATTTTTCACCTTGTTTTTTTCCCTAATAAGTTTTGCCCTCAGGCCTCCCAGTTTACTTAAGCATGTTAGCAGAGTGTGTAATGATGAACCTCTGGCCACAGAAAAAGTGTTAAGGAGCACTTCAGCTACTTGGATGCTTACACAATGGCAAACATTATGCATACAGGGGTGCTGGGACAGCTGGCTGATGTGACTGCAGGGTTGCCCTCTGTCATTATCAAAAAATTATGATTACTAGGGAAGGTCATTGATGACTGGAAACAAGCAAACATCATGTCCATCTTCAAGGATCCATTGAACTGCAGGCCAGTCACCCCCACCTCTGTCCCTGGAAAAATGATGTTGCAAATCCTGGAAGGCATGTCTGAACAGAGGAAGGACTAGAAGGTCACTGCAAACAGCCAGCATGGATTTACCAAGGATAAATCACACTGACCAACCTGATCGCCTACTCTGATAAAATGGCTGTCAGTGTGGATTAGGGGAGAGCAGCGGGTGTTGTATTCCTTGATTCCAGCCAGGCTTTTGGCCAGGCTTTTGGCTCTTCAGACACATAATTACACTAGAATCTGTGGGGTTCTGACTGGATAAATGAACAACAGAGTGGGTGGAAGATGGGGGTCAAAGGTGGAATGATGCTATGCAATCATGCTCCCTAATAACAAGTGTCATACCCATGAGGCAATACTGGATGTTATTTAATGTCCTTATTAATAACATGTATGATAGGGTTCTCAGAAAGTTTGTGGATATTATCAAATGCAGGGAAGTAGTCTCAGTGTGCTGGAAGGTAGGGAAGGAACAATATTGAGAAATGAGCTATCACAGAACTCTTAAAGTTAAGCATAGGAAAACATATGGGCCTGCCTCTGAGAAGGAATACCCTTATGCCACAGTACAGGCCAGGTGCCAAATTTCTAGAAAGCAGCTCTACAGAAAGGGAGTTGGGAGTTCTGCTAGATGCCCTTTGTTTGCATAAGGCCAAAGGCATCTTGGGCTGCCTTAGCAGGGGCATGTCCAGCAGATCAGGAAGAGCGATTGGTGAGTGCTTGTGTGACCACATCTGGAGTTCTGCATCCAATCTGGAGCTCCCTGGAAAGGGTAAAGAGCAGCTCCTTGGGGTGAGTCCAGCAGAGGCCCACCAAGACGGCCAGGGCTTGAAGCCCATTATGTAAGAGGGGAAGCTGAGGGAGCTGGACTTGTTCAGCCTTCAGGTGAGATGATTTGGAAAGTGGGGGCTGGTGGGTGGTGTGCAGACTCATTGCTGTCCGTAAATTCTGGGTGGGTGTGGAAAAGCCAGAGTCGACTCCTATCAGAGGTGTGCAACGAAAGGATGAGAGGCAATGAATACAAGCTAAAATTAGAGAAATTTTGACTCTATCTCATATAATGAATTTGGGATTGAGTAAAAACACAAATGGGAAAGCTAAATGAAGAAAACACTTCCACAAATTTTTTAGAGTGTTATCTGTGTTGTATGTCCAGCAGTTGGGGAAGAATGGGAATCATAGAACAACGCAGGTTGGAAGGGGCTTCAAAAGAATATCTGACATGACTTTTCACAAAAAAAAGGAAACTAGATGAACTGAACAGAAGTCATATACATTTGTAAATTATTTCAGGAATTAGCCTCTCATTTTTAGGTGAGGACATGCAGAAGTTTATTTCACTAGATACCATTTTGTATGCTTGTTCTCGGGCTTGCTTCTAAAATTGAGCTGTTGATTGTATAAACCACCCCCTCCAAAAGAAAAAAGTAAAAGGCAGCCACTGTAGGAAGTGATGAAAAGTCCAGAAGTATTTGATAATTTATATGTCTGTACACCTCCAAAGCTTTGAATTCAATTCCCAGATGTGTAGTACATGATCAGTACATGATATGTTACTTGAAAGATTTGACAAAATGCTGCTACAAATTTTTCAAGTTATAGCCAGCTGTTCTAGTTAACCTTACTTAAACCTTAAACTTCTATTTAAGGAAATTACACTCTCTGAAGGGTGAAAGAATGTTTAGACATTGCTCTGTCTAATTTTTTTAAAGGAATTTTAAAAACACCATAAGCTTTCCTTTGGATATTTTCCACTCCTTTTGTCTACAGATGTACAAATAACGTGTGTTGTACTGAGGCCATGAGACTGAATTCTGGAGATTGGAAAAGACATGCAAACTATCTCCTGCTAGATGATTTGAGGGAGAAAGAAGAAAAAGTTTGCATTTTCTTAATTAGGTCATTTTTGTGCTGTCTGTATATAATTTTGCCCATCTGTCTTCTGTATGTCTCACAAAACATACAAGTATACATAAATAAAAACCTAGAGCCGGTGTTATTTTTGTATAATATAGACAGGCTGCAGATTGCATTTGATGAAGATGTTAACATAGTAACATTGTACACTGTGATCCTTTTCTGAGCTTAAAGTTAGGAAATTAGAGCTGGAAAGAGCATTATAATAGGCCTTTTTTTTTGAAATACCATCAAACAGAGAATTCAATCTGCTGAAATAACCTGAGGTTGAGTTAATAGTTTAAAACTCCCCCCTTCTGTGTTTTCTCTTTCTTTGTTTTGGTTTCTTTTTAATACTTGGGTAATTTCATACACTTTTCAAAGTGAAAGAAATTAGTTTTCTTTTCATAAATCGTATCTGTATATTTTTTCAGTTTATCTGGGTGGGAGACCTTCACAGTTGACTAGTTATATTTAAAAATTAAAATGAAGGTATTAATAGGAATAAATGTATTAAAATTGGTTCTGCAGAAGAATAGAAGTACTTTAATAAGCAGGTCTAGTGTCAATAAATAGTTGAGAATTTTTAAATCTGAGAAAATCCCTTAGGATGAATGGAAAAATAAATGACTCCTATTAACTGACAAAACTATGGAAAGCCATATCATTTTTTTGTAGACATTTCACACCTTTTTGAATGAGAGACAATCAGCATCCAAATTACTTCATTTTTGTCTCATAATAAAACTTCACTGCAGTAAAATTATTTTAAAGAATACAATTACTTGAACAATATTTGTTTGAGATTTGTATTTTATCCTTTTGTGTTCCAGGGTGAACGTGGCTTTCCAGGTAGTAAAGGTGAAGAAGGTGAAAAGGTAAATTATTCTGTCCATGTAATTTATTGGTTTAACAATATGATATATGGCCAACCAAGTAGAGCTTTGTTCTGACTGCCTACCTTAACCCTTTAATTCATAAAATTCTTACATTTTTGACATGTAAATGCTGAAGAATGAGAAGTTCTTTATGTATTTGCTGAGTGCCATCAGGGCTTCATTTAGATATTTTTTTTCTCTAAGAAAAAGGTTTTGGAGGAACCAACAGAACCTCTGCAGTGGCAGAAAATAGTTCAATAGCCTGTACTAAAATGAGAACTAAACTGGCCTTGTGAAAGGCTGTCTTGACTGATAAAATGCCAGCATTAGGTGGCATCAGCTGATGCAAACCAATCTTCTTGTGTTACCTCTGACAGGTAAGTCTTCCTAGGTCATCAATCAAAGGCAAAAAAGTGTGTTAAGGTACAAGTGGAAGGAAGAGGCAGACACCAGCTTGTCTAATAGGAATTAAAGTAACAGTGGTGATACTTTGTGGTTGTAACTTTAGTTCTTAACCATGTTCATGCCTGGTTACTGGTTTCTCACTAGTTTTGTCTGGTCTGGATTAGGCAACCTGAAATAAGAGTCTTTTCTTGAAACAAGTAGTTTCTCTGGGCTTCATCCCACTGTCTAAAAAGGGTGCAGAAAAGCATTACTTCTGAATTTATATATCATAAAGATGAAGAATGACAGAAGCTGCTATTCTGGCAATATTCAGACTGATGAAAATAGAGAGTAGGTGGCAGCTTCTGAATTTTAAAAAGTGTAATATATTTGTGAGTTGGGCTGCTTTGGACATGGATATATTCACTCACCCACCATACCTCTTCAGAAGTGTGAGACAGCTTTCCAATGTTCATATTTTAAAGAAAGCATGCTATGGATTAACAGAATTGAAGCAGATTTAAAATGTGGAGGTTTTTTTAGGAGGAAGTATCCCAGTAACCTAGAAGGAAGAAGTATCAGAAGTAAAAACCAGCATCCATAGCAACTAACATTTATAATGTGAGAATTCAGCCTCTGAAAAAACCCACTTGTTAAGCTTGAGTGTTTCTGACTCCAATGACAGATCTTATTTCCTTGGTAGTATCATTATTAATCAGCTCTGAAGGGTTTGTGGAATTTTTTAAAATTTTTTTTTCCCCTCCCCATAATTGCTCTGCAGCTGTGCTGTGCTCTCCTTGAGTTTTATGAATAAATTGTGTTTGAGCACAGGCATATGGTTCCAGCTGTTGCTGCCACTCTCTTTGCTTGATTTCCCTTATTTTAAAGGAGAGATAAAATGACCCAACCACTGGTAGTTACATTTTTCTTATGTGGAAACTAAACCAGCATGCTTAGACCATTTTGTTTCTTTCTGTCTCATAAACTCAGATGATAATTAAAAGGTCCCATTTAAAAATAGTCCCAGTGTTTGTTATTATGTTTACTATTATTTCTTATTAATGCTGCATTCAACTGCCCTTCAAACTAAAGAATATATAAGAGTGGAAAGTTCTTTGTTTACCAGTCATCTCTCAAAAATAATTTGGGCTAGTCTCATCAGAAGGTACACATGATATTTGTGTGGGAAGCATGTGTTTTAAGGCAATGGGAAGTAGGTCTTTAGTTATTCATTTCAGCTTTAATTCAAATAATTTTTAAAGAATAACAATGTAGAGTTTCAGCTACTAAACTCCAGTATAAAAACAAATTCAACACATTTGCATTTTAATATAGCAGCACAAAATGAAATAGTTATACTACTTGGTGTATAACAAACATGAGTACAAAGCCTGAAATGGAAAATTTTTCTATTACCCAAAATTTTACCTAGTACTGCATATTAAGGAACAAAATTTTTGCACACACTATTTTGTATATCACCGAGGGTGGGGCACAGCTACCTCAGCCTGGGTTATTTTGCCATTCCAGACTCCCTGCAGAGGTACATGGAAATGGATCATGCTCTCTCTACTTTTGGTTTAGTTACCCCATAATTTCTTAGGATTGAATATTTGAAACCAACCCAGCATTTTACCTTGTTTTATCAAATGAAAATAGTTGGTTTTTTGTATTAGGTTCTGCTTTGGCGGAGCAAAAAGCCTTGGGGACACCAGAGAGACAGAGACAGCTGAGGTGACAGTGCGTGATCATTTGTACATTACAGTTATGGGAAGCATCTATAATGTAAATTATTGAGGGAGATTCCTTTATGCTGGTTAAGGATTTCTCTGCCACACTTGGTTCTTCTTGAGGAATCCAAAAGTCTTGTTCTACTTTTGGTCATGGCTGAACTTGGTTGTCTCTTACAAAAGCCAATAGTGGTACAAGAAGTGCAGGTGTTATGTTACAAGTTTTCCCTCCAAGGGAAATATACTCTCACTGTGAATTTATTTTAATTCTCCTTTGTATTCCGTTTTCTTTGTGTTACATAGATAATGAAACTCTTATGTGATAGTCTTATAACTGCAACAAAAACATTGGTTTACTCTTTTATAGCGTGACTGAAAAAGTATATGCTGAGAGCAGTTTTAATTGATTTACTGCCAAGTAGGCAAACTATATCATGGGGAATCTGTTCTCCTTCTAATACTGCTTAGAATTTTAATTTTACAGTATGGGATAGAAAATATGGCTATTGCATTTCATGATGATAGGAAGTCAGAAGGTACTGATATTAACTAGAAGAAAGCTTTAAAATACAGAATGTTCTTGGTAAATCAGAGATGTTGCCTGAAAATAAAAATGAAGTTGCAACTGAAAGACTAAGTTGTTCCAACGTGAAGTATTGTCTGCAACACTAATTAAAAAGTCCTATTAAAAAGTGCTATTTGGTGTTGATATGGCTTCAGTTTGAAGGCAAGCACTGGAAATGACTGGTGCTCAGGAATACAGGACCTTTGAGGAAGGACAGCATGATTTACTTTTAGTGTAGAGTCAGCTGAAAACATGTGAACAGCCTTCAAACATATAACATTGCTGCAAAGGAGGAAGGAAATGGTCTGTTTGTGTGTCTGTAGTACATATAGGGCAGTGGGCTGGAAATGCAGCAAGGAAGATGCTGTGTAGCCATTAGGAAAGGGTTTTTAATTTTAACACTGTTGTTTATTACAGAAGTAATTTCCTCTTCCAGTGCTATGCAGCTTTTATCCTGGTAACACAAAAGGTAATAAATTAAAGACTTGCTTCATGAAAACACACAAGATGAGATTATCTTAAAAGACTTTGTCATTTTCTGTTAATAGCATCAAAATTATGCAAGGTATCCCTTACATTTATTTCTAATTCAATAAGCACAAGAATGGCAAGACCATTTCTTTTTGAACATGCATACTTGTTTGGTTTTAATGTCCAGTTAATAGTTTTCTGTGATAGGACTGTAAAGCTCAGCAACAAGTTGCCCAAAGTGGTTTTCCAGCAGCAACTTTTCCTTGAGGCTTTCAAGGCAAGCCCTAAGCAATCTGGCCTGATTAACAGGTTTGGGTCTGGATTTCAACCTCTGCAGGTTTCAAGATCTCAGACCTATCTTGAAATTTGCACAGGTTGAAATCTTATTTATTATTACTTATTTTGATACTAGAAGTATGTGCATCACTTGGGGGTTGGAACAGGCCTAGTGCCTGTTAGCTAGGTGGGAAATGTCCTTTGAGACCATCAAGTTCAACCTATGACCTAACACTACCTTATTAACTGGACCATGGCAGTAAGTACCACATCCAGTCTTTTTTTTAAACACTTCCAAGGACAGTGACTCCACCACCTTTCTAGACAGCCCATTCCATTGCCCAATCACTCCTTCTGTGTAGAACTTGTCTAATGTCCACCCTAAATACCCAAATTAGACAAATAACCGCTAAGATACCTTTTTCCTTTTTTAAAATCTGTAATTAATTCTCTTTCCCCCTGGTTATTGCTTCCTTTGGTCACTCCTGTTAGTACTCTTTAACCAGATCCCCCACTTTTTCTGTCTTCTTGTGTACATTTTTGGTTAGAATGTGTATTTTCATTAGTACACTTCTCAGATATGATTCTTTCTGTAAATGAGCTAGAACACTGAGACTTCAATTTTCTGGGATACATGAAATGTGAACTCCATATAGATTTCAATAGCATTTAGTATTCGGTATAACAAATCTGAATTTTATTTAAAATAGTGGTGATAGAAAAGCCAAAAGATTTACATGTTGATTATAGCTGAGCAAACATGGCTTGTTTGTCACTAATAGATACTGATAATTTCACAGAGCTGGGAGTCATTTCAGAGAGCAAGGCTAAATACCTTGCCTTGTTTAACTATTTCAAAATGCTAGTATAAAATCCCTCTTTGTGTTTTAAGTCGGAGAGGCAAGGTGTGCTGTTATATAATAAAATCACAGGACTTGCTGATATCTCAGACAACTCGGAAGACTTTTTCCTTCATTAAGCATATTCCCTTTTTTCTCACACTTGAAGTAGAGGATTTTAAAACTGGATGTCATTGGACCTGAGCTATGTTGCAGTTTGTGTGCTGTGACATGCACTTGTAAGCACTTGATCTCTTGTAAAGTTATTATTTTACTAAAATTCTGTGTTTAATATTTCTCAGTAAAGTGATATTAATTAAAAAGTTATATGTATTTGAATAGGGGAAACTTTGAGAATAAAAATATATTGATAGTTATTTATTATTTCCAGAGTTTCATCCTTTTTACATTACATGTTGCATGTCTGAATTGTGCTTTTGCCTGTGTATATATATGAGAAGAGAGGAGGAGTCTGGGGCTTGTCCAGCCTAAATGTAGAAAAAAATTTCATCTGCCCAATTTTCTTCTAAACGCAGGATGTTCTTTGTATATATTTACTATTTTCTGAAGTACAATTTGAATTATCCCAGGAAATAGGGCTTCATCTATTTCCTTTAGAAGACAATTCCTAATAGATCTTAGTGTCAAGAGGATTTCCTGGAGGTTCAACATTTTCTACTTTATTCTATCACACCTAATAAAATACTCCTCTGTCTACCTTCTATCCATCCAGAA